CATTACTCTAGTTTTGTTCATAATTGCATTTCAAGACTAAAAAAGATTTCGACACGCGGTTTACAGAATTGGATATGTATATAAATTTAGAACACATTGGAATACTTATGCTCAGTTCCACAACTCACAGTTAACTCTTAACTGAGGTTCAACTTATTCATTGTCTCTTTCCAATTTTAGAATTGGACAGAGATGATAAACAAGTGAAACTAAGGCCTTAAAACTGAGATCTAGGTTCGACTCCCGGCCGAGGCAATATTTTTAGCAATAAGTTTATTACAATTTTTTAAGTTTGGAAAATTATTAATATTTCAGATTAATTGCAGGGAAAGTCCAACAACATATCGGCATGCAATTATAATTTCTGAAATTAATTGAAATTTAAATGAATATATATAATAGTTCAACATCTTAACATTCAGACCGTAGCAGCGCTTCGTATTTAAAATAAAAGAATTTTAATTTATCAGTATAATCATAAATAAAAGAAATATTAATTCCGAGTATAATATAATATCTGACGAGATGCACCAGTTTTCCCTGGATCAGTGGTCGTGCCGGTGAGTTCATCGGCTGCTGTTGTTCGGCGATCGCACCAAGCGCGGCTGTCCGACAGGTGAGCGGCACGACACACATACGCGCTTATACATATGAGAGATACAGTTAGCAGTACCGTTCTGAAAATGCAACGGCTCGCGTCTCGCGATGGGCCCGATGCTAGCCTCCTCCGGGTCCGATGGAGAGGGCCTTCGCACACGGCTCCCCTCTCCTCCCGACATCCCGGACACGGTTTTAATACGAAACGGACACGCTTAAATCGCAGATTCATTCGAGAGGGTGCGCAATAACGGTAGCACGATATTCACTGAGGCATTCGATAAAAGCATTCGCGAAAAGATCTTCGAAGAAAGGAGAATTGATTATCGAAGTTAAACTAATATTAAAAGATATAACTGTAACTTTTTCTACCTTGTGAATTATGTGCGTGCACATTTAGAAAAAATGTATTAAATTTTAATAAATATTTGTTTGGATTGTACTAGCTGAATATTTACTAGATGTAAACTTATGTTTATTTGGTACAAGACTCGTTCATTTGATATCTTTTTTTATTTAGTTAATATTTACCGTGAGTAAATATTAAGTTAATACTATTCAAATAGATATTTATTAAAATTTATATTTTTTTTCTCATATAGTATAATTTATTGACACAAACATTATCCAATAAAAATTATCTCTCTCTTTTTCTCTCTTATTGTAATAAAAAAAATTTAATAAAGATTTAAATATTACAAAGAAAAATTATGATTCAAGAATAAATTGAAAGAAAATAACTTCCAAGCCAACAGTGGGTAAAAATAATGTTATACAGATTAAATAATATTATACAGATTAATTAATTTGAATATAAAATATGCAAAACATTTCGATTCTTAGGTCTCCTTCAGTGTATTACAGATAAATATTTGTGATAAGACAATACATGATATGGATATATAAAATGATACGGATTCTTTTCCACAATATATTACAACGATTTAAGTCGTACAATTCTTTTAATAGTATTTGTCTTCAAATAGTACAGAATAATTTTAAAATTTTGATGATCATTGTCGGAGATGTGAAGTTCCCACGTTGCTAGTCGATTATTTATTAAAGGAAGCATAAATATTTAATAAGGAATCGCTACCCTCAATATTTAGATCGTGCCCGTCAATAAAAGAGAAAATGATAATAATGATTTCATAGTGGGGATAGACAATCAACATCCCACAGCCTATGTAGTTCTATCGTTTATCCGATAAGAAGAACTATCTTTCAACGAACTCGGGCTAGTAACGCGATCGAACGAAGGAAGGGTAGCAAAGTCGCACGGGAGTGGCACATGCGCAAAGTGCACCACCCTCGAAACATCCAAAGGCCAGTTTACGCTAGTTCAGCCATTCATCGAAAATCCCGGCGCGTATTTTAATATATCATATTTCTCTCTCTCTCTCTCTCTCTCTCTCTCTCTCTCTCTCTGTCTCTTTCTTTTTTTGCACAATGTATGAATTATTATTTATATTATTCATTAATATTATAATAATCATTTGTATTTGTATTACATTTTAAACGGATATATTTATAAAAAATACTTTTAAAATATAACTATTTAGTATAAAAATATAATAATAATAATATTAACTACGATAAATAAAAATAAATTATAAATAAAAGTAAAAGTAAACGTGCTTGCTTTATAAACCTATTATTTAATTGCAATTCATTCACAATGGACAAATAAATTATAAAAAATAAGAGAAGAATATTGAAGAGACATTCCAAAGACATCTTTTTTACCGATTAAACGCTTAATGTTTGTAATAATTACTTTTTTCTCTTTTACAAATTCGAAAATCTTTTTCCAGGACTTTTTCCAGGAAAATATACATATTAATGCGTGTCTATAAGATGCAGTTTATAACGAGAACGATAAAAAAATTTCAAATGAATCCTTTTTACCATTTCTTAATCCAACATAATGCTCTAGAGCTATCATGACAATATTTACTTGAAATAAAAGCACACAATTTGTACTTACAAATTAATAGCTAGTAATTCACAGCTAATAATTCGCACGAAGAAACAAGTGGAGTTCTTAGAATTAGACTGAGACGTCTAATTAAGATACGTTATCGTTACACGAAAATTTATGTACGAGATATTGATATATTATAATAATGTGCTAATGACATATAAATCTGTAAGTCCTTAATCGGTAAAACAGATCTTTAGGATTCCTTTAATAATAGATAATAAATATATACATATAAAAGGTGTGTATGTGAATAGTAATAAATATTTAAAACATTAGTAATATAATACACATAATACAAAAGTATGATACAAAAGTAATGATACATTAAGTTTCACGGACAGTAAGATTCTATTTCATCTCATGATATTGAATTACATTATCAACAATATTTATTATTCATTTGCATTGCTTCTCTATATTACTATTACTTCATCTTTTTTCTGATTGTATGTCATAACTTTAATAACGATCTCTATGGAGAAAGCCCTTCTCCGACGTCGTTGTAAATATTGCGCAGGGTTGGAAACCCTCGCTATCTAGCGTAATCCGGGCGGGGTGGCGGTGGCAAGAGTTCCGGGGGCGGAACGGGGTTGCTCGGGGGCGAGTCAAATCCCCGGATGCCATCTGGTGGTGGTCGGTGCAAGCAGGAGCCACTGGTGCCCCGTAAAGTGCATAGCGCCGAAACGAAAGGAAGACAGGAAGAAAGGAAGGTTGAGCCCGGGACGAGGATCTGACGACTTTCCTCCTCGATGAATCTATTCCGGGAACGCGCAGTATTACTCATCGCGCGCGCGATTCGTTCGAGTTACCAGCGAAAAAAGTAACGTGCCTTCCTCCGTGACAAGCTGCGAGCTCTCTGCTTCCATCATCGACGATCACGACGGGCGAGCACGATGTGAAACCACGAGGCATTCGAACAAATCCCGAGCTTTTCTTGGAGATACCTTCGCTAATATTCGAGTGCACCAGCTTATTTCTTCAATTTCCGATAATCAAGCTAAAAACGTAATAATTTTTGACATTAGATACGAGAAAATACTTGAAATTGACAGAAGATAGTTCTTGTTGACAATCAACAGAAATAAAGCGTTCACGAAGGAATCTACAGTCGTAGATATCATCGATGATAGCAGAACACAGTACACGAGGAGTACGAGTGATTCGCGATGTGGGTGTCCTCGGCAGTGTGGTGATCGATCCAGAATGTCAGTGATCGACGAAATCGACGGAAGAAAAGCGTCGCGACACGGATAGCCATCGACGACCGATGGCAGCATTTCGTCGCGAGTGTTAAAGTATCTTATCGCGTGCGAGGCTCGCGATGGCGAGATATCGACCGCAGCCGTCGAATTAATCGTCGAAGGTCGCGAGCACCGCCTCGCTCCGTTGTCCTTCGTTCAATCCGATCAACGATCCGACACTTTAAGTCGATCATCTGGGCGAAAAGCAAATCAATGATCAATGACGATCGAACGTGGATCTACCGATTTGCGGATCGATGCACGAAATCATGAGCTTCTCTGTTTTTTTCGATTGTGTCCAATCTTTCTTAAATTATTCTTAATTAAAGCATACATCAAACAATACTGATTCTAGCAATTCTTTTTTTAAAAAAACGGTACTCATGTTTATTACAATTATCATAACTAATCGAGCAATAAATGCACTTATGAATGAAAGTGAAGAGTAAGACTGTCTTCGTGAGTTTTCTTCTTTAAACATGTTTGTCGTAACTCACAATAGAGACCACTCGATGTCCCATGTGCCGTACTTTGACAACGCGAAATCATAGAATTATTGAGATCCATCGCGACTGTTACATTGATAAAATCAATTTAGCACAAATACAGAAATTTTGTTGTATTTGTGAACAATCAATCGCTACCAATTGTTCAAAGCTTCAAGTTTTCATGCTTCGGTGATAGTGCTTGGTACTTCCTTATCCGCACGGTCGGGCCGATCGAACTCGCACCGGGTCTAAGGACTTCGACCGCTACGCTCCCTCGCTATTTCGAGGCTGCGCGCGAGGAAACGCGTGGTTGAATCGAAGCGACCCTCTCCGAACGAGACCCACTGACCTATCGACTCGCTCGAGCTGCCACTCGAGGCCGTTCCAACTACCCCTCTTCTACACTTTCCATCCTGATGTTTGTTGTTGTTGCTCTCAGTTTCTTGGTCCAACCTACAGTTTCTCTCAACTTTCGAACGCATCATAAATCACTCGTTTCACATTTTTATGAATATGCAAATGACTTCTTCTCTTGTTGTCTTAAACTAAAAATGTTGATCTCGAGATTTTTCGATAGTGCACGATGATATTGACGATCTTTTAAAAATTGCCTTTTTGATACATTGTCATTACTTGCACGTCTTTTTCAAACCGACGAATCTAATCGATAGAATCCTACGAAAATGAACCGAAGCAAATATTCTCTCGCGTATAGCGAAAAATGGTTCAAAACCAGACATATCGGACATGAGATGCTTTCCAATATCGGCGTATTATTGTATTCACGTGATATAAAAGTGGCGTATCGATATGAGTCGTTAATGACGATCTAAATGAATGTAATGAAATAAATCGATATTATTAATATAAAATCACAAACGGAGGACAATAAAAAAAAGTAAGAGTGAGAGAAAAACGTTGCACGCTTTATGAAAGAAGATGCTTTGAAGAGATCTCTCTCTTTCTCTTGTCTCTCAGAGACAATGATCCCGACGATTACGGAGAAATGCAAATAAATCCTGCAATAATCCACACATGAATATTTACACATAAACGAGAGTATAATGGGATAGAAGTCCAAAGCAAGTACTCGAGTAATCTCGAAAGTGACTGACTATTCAAACTGACTGTTCGATTCATTCATCTTCATCGCTGGCCTCAACATAACGCAATAACAACGACACTGTCTTCGACAGTTATCATACGTAGAAATGCCATAACTCGTATTAGATATCTTTACTGAAAGTAAACATCTACGCGAAAAATGGCTGAAAGCGCAGCGAGTCCAAGCAATGTGCATGCGAACAGTCCGCAACAACCACAACAGCAACAGCAGCAGCAACAACAACAACAACAACAACAACAACAACAACAACAACAACCGCAACAGCAACCGCAACAACAACCGCAACAACAACAACAGGCGCAACAACAACAACAAACACAACAACCTCCAGATATAAGCAGTTCACAGCTAACTTCTCCGCCAATCACGGGAACAGGTATGACGATAAATAAAAGAAACGATTGAGAATTTTTTTAATGTTGATATTAACATTTTTATTATTGATAAATTGTGTAGAATTGAAAAACAAAACAATTTTAAAAATACGAATTTTAAAAAAGACGACAACAAAGAAAAACACAAAATGAATTGAAATTATAGTAATAATGTTAGACAAGTATTGATCTAGTCTACATGATGATAAAGTTGATTTAAAAGACTGTAAAAGATTTTCTTATCAAAGTAACAAAAATGCGAAGATTTAATAAATGTTTAGAAAATATTTGAAAAATTAAGAAAGCTTGATAATAATGTTTAGATATCTTATTGTTCTATTTCGTTGATCAAATATACAATGTTAAATTGTATATTTTATTAAAGCTTAAATCTTCATGAGAAAAAAGGCCAATTAAAAATTTCTCAAAGCACGTGCTCTTCAAACGCGTCGACGTAGGACAATAAATCGTATACTAAATGTTTCATGAGTAAGTTGATCTTTTCTTATTATTTACATCGAACAAATCTCCCGTATTTCGATCTATCTTTTGGAGGAATGGCGGTTAGGTCCACGATCTCGCTCGCGTAATCGCGTAATCGCGTTGGCATAACGCTGGGCCATTACTCCATCAGCACGCGAATCGCGCGGCGAGACAGAGTGGCTCGCGATGTGTTGGTACTTGTCCGGATGACGAGGGACAGCGTATCGGTTACGGCGGCGCGGGTGGCGCGGCGGCGATGACGGAGAAAGGAGCAATGTGCAACGAGCAAGAAGGAGAGAGCACGAGTCGCGTTAGCGGATCTGTCGGTCGAGTAACGGAACGCCGGCGAGTACCGCTAGCACCGGCTCTGACGCGGTTACCGGACACCGTTACTTCGCCGATGCATGAGTAGCCCCCACGTGCCTCTCTTGTCATCCTTGTCGCGTTCATTGGAGAGCGCCCTCACGGGCGAAGAGAGCGCATTTGATGGATACGGATGTACGAAAAGATAGGTGACCTGATGGGAAAATTCACCGTAATGTTTGTGTGAATTATGTAAGAAGGTATCGAGAATCGACCTTTTTGCTTTAATATTGTTTATTTGTTACAATAACGAGAACGTTACATAATTAGAAAAATTGTTATTTACTAATGCTTGTAAGAAAAAGAATGGAAACATAAAGAACAAACACATTATTTAAAGGAACATACTTTTATTGCTCTATACTCAATTATTATTACACTAAAATGTATTTCAAAATTAATGTTACAAAATTTTAATAATGCAAAACATTGCAATTCATTTTCTAGATAACTTTATTTTTAATGTGTCATTAGAACAAATAAATATATTGTTCGACAATTCGTCTCCTTACCCCCCTTTTTATATTATAAATAACATAGAGATGTCGAGAATTACGAATGAAAAATGGATGAAAAAAATAAATACGTTTTTTATCAATAGACTGAATTAAACTTTTTATCAATAGACTGAATTAAACTTCTATTACATAAGTTCATAGTATTTAATATCACATTCCAGTACTTTTTGTTAATAATTTCATTACTTGATTCATCGTTTAAATACTCTGCCAAATATTAAAGACATTGTATATTGTGTATTTAATTTTTTATATCTGGGCAAGAATTTAAAATTACCTCCTATTTGAAAAAATGTCTCCTTCACTAATTGTAATATTTTTACATTTTTTTATTAAAGAAGATCCAATTCAAGGTTCAAAAATGTTTGTATTTTTTGTTTTTTAAATATAATTTATTTGTATATGAATAATCAAACAGTGTCGGCTCATAAAAGTTTTTCATCTATCTAACTTTAATGAATTTATATAATTTTTATTTTAAAAAATATGACTACATATAATGAGACGTATTATTCTTCTAATTCTAGAGTCCTTATAGTCATTAAAATTTGAATAAATAATAAGAAATATGGTTTAAATGCACACATTTGCATTTATTTCAAAGAATAATTAATAATTATTATATAGTTGCAACAAATAAGTAATGCTAACAATAAGTTCTTTCATTGTAAATATTGTCAAATTTTTGGATATGTAAACGTTGAATTAAATAAAATTTTATTATTATTTTCCTTAAAAATAATGAAGAACTATTATAATGATATCATATGTTCAATAGTTCTATTTCGAGACTGAACGTAAAAATTATTGCTTTATAATTATTTTAAAATAAATTTTTTTAGACTATTATTATTGGTAATTTATATCTGGTCTTTATTTTCCATCATCCATAATTGTAAAAGTAACAGATAAGATAAATTTTTAATAAATTTTTTAATAAATAAACTATTTAA